GTTAGCAGCATTTATCTGAAAAAAGCTTCAAGTCTTTTGGTATCAAAATAGGTTAATAAATTTAAACAAGGCCCAAACATGGTGGTGGTTATGTGTCATGGAGTCAGTTCTGACTCATAGCCACCCTTCATAGGGTTTCTGAGGCTATAAATCTTTACTGGAGCAGAAAACCTCAAATTTCTCCTATGGAACTGCTGATAGTTTTGAACTGTTGAACATGAGATTAGCAGTCCAACTCCTAACTTCTATGCTACCAGAGCTCCTTAAGGCACAAACATAGACAGAAGTAATATAGTAGCTAAGGGTTCCAGCAGTGGACTTTGCCAGGTTACAGAGGGGACGTAAGTTTTTTTTATTTGTGACCATAACTCTTGGGTAAGGGCATTCCTGTGTTCTTTCAGCCACCTGCTGTTTTCTAGGATGTGCTGTACTCTGAGTTCAACTTCTGGTACAATTTTGTAAGTTCCACATGTTATATTAGCCACTGCACAGATTTCGCCCTCTTTGCCTAGCAGATAGTCAAGGATTATGTGATGGTCCATGGCCATATTGACCTATGAGTCTATTGATTTTTGAATGGTTATCAATGATTATCCAAAACTACATGGTGGTTGGTGGTTATGTGCCGTGGAGTTGGTTCCGTCTCATAACAACCCTGTTCAGGGTTTCTGAGGCTGCATATCTTTATGAGAGCAGAAAGCCTCATATTTCTCCTGCAGAACAGCTGGTAGTTTCGAACTGCTGACCTTACGGTTCACAGCCTGATTCATAACCAAGGCACTACCAGAGCTCCTTATGATTACATAGTTATTCATAATTCTGTATGTGACAGATCTGGCAGCCACTAGAGCAGTAATGCCCAGTATTAGAAAAGTGAGAAGTTTCTTTTTCTTCTTTGGGGAGGTATACTGGAAGAAGTTGAGGAAGGGGCAGATTGCAGATTTTGAACTACTTGAAATTCCCTGGTTATAAGGGTAACAAATCCTGGAGTACAGGTTCCCCACACTAGGGTTGCATTTAGACAAGACAATTATCATGTTCTATTGTTATTTCCTTGCCAGAGAACCCATAATCTTTCTTCCAAACACAACAAGCAGGAGGAAGTTTTCCCAATTACTGCAATTATGAGGATATAAACCAGAGTGCCTAGAGATAGATACTGGTTTTAGTATGCACACCCTTGGTATCAGTGGTTACCAGCCAGGAGACTCCAGTGTCAGAGAATGATCTTTTTAAAGTTAAGACTCTGCATCCAATTATATAAAGAATCATAACTGGATCCTGGTGTGCATTTATTTCCTTTGTAATTATATGCATGTCATTAAGTGTCATCGAGTCAGTTCCAATTCATCCTGACTCTGTATAGGGCTTCCAAGGAGTGGCTCATGATTTTGAACTACTGACCTTGTGGTTCAAACTGACCTTGCAGTCTAATACTTATACTAGAGCACCACACTAGGACTTCAAATTATATGTATATGAGAAGATTGTCTTCCTAAAGCATGGAAAGTTGCACTGAAAGTCTTTGGTGTTGGGACCAACTGAAGTCCATAATCTAAATGAAATTGATTGAAAACGTTCATAGCCCCTGGATGAGTTTATGGACTTAATGATGCCCAGGATTTCCACAGCAGAAACAATTGATGTCCATCATCTTACCCAGGTCAGAGGAGGTTGTTTGGTTCTGAGCCGCTAAAGCTGCTGCAAGAAAACTTATCCTTTTGGCAGTCCCTCCCTGCCAATTCCACATCCCAATTGTTGTAGACAGACTTCTAGCAGTTGAGACAGGAAAGGTCCCCACCTAATGTGAGTTTTTGTCTTTTTCTGCTATGTCAATAGTTCACTGGTTGGTAAAAGAAATATTTATTAGGATAGTAGCTTTGGATGAACTAGGGTCTAGATTAGTATACTTAGTGACAGCCTCAACCAGGTATACTCTAAAGAGAATTGAATTTTCATCCTTTCCTTGAATGACTTCTGTTAATTTAGAAAAATTGGCAGGCTTACTCTGGATTTGTTTCATTCCTCCCAGGAGAAATGGAGTTCCTTGAAGCTATTCCTGTCTGTCCCTGTTGGTAATTTTACTGGGATATGTACTTGTGACTGTTGCATTGCCAACCATTGGTGAACATGTAAATTATCTCTGTATGCTTGGGAAGCTGCCCAAATACATTTTTTTTTTTTTTTTTGTCTCATCACCCACACAACACCTGGAGTCTTGGTGTGGCATTCTAGTATAAGCACTGGACCACAAAGCCAATTTGACCCACAAGGTTGAAAGTTCAATCTTATCAGCTGCTGCTCAGAAATCACTATGAACTGACTCAACAGCACTTAACAATTACAACATGCAACACCTAGAGAGGACCACTAGGATGTCTTTACAGGTTAGTTCAAAAATCAAGGCTATAGAACTGATCGGAATACGTAAAAGGGGTGCTAGAACTTGCCCAGAGAAAGAGGCTTCTTGTGGAGACTTTGTAGTGTATAAGACAGGTGGAATCCTGATCCCCATCCAGAACATTCTGAGGTGGGAAATTCCCACTTGAAAGGATAAGCAGACCAGCTTGGAATAGCTAGAGGCATAGAAGATACTTCTTGAAATAAAGACTAGCAGGAAAAATTAAAAAAAAAAAAACAAAAAATGGCAGTTCAGTTGGCCATTTTATCTTTCCTTTCACTAGACTTGCCTTACAGGTCATGTCTTTCCTACATTCTTGTGGTTGACCTGTGGTTAGCCCCCATTCCCTGTTTTAAGTAACTAATAGCAGTAAATAGTAAATTGATTCTGACAAATCTCAGAAAAGTGGTATTCATACTTAAAGGCTTCTCATAAATGTTTACATAAAACTGTTTTAAGAAAATACTTGAGGTGGGAAGAATCAACTGAAAAATTTACATTACAACTGGAATACATAAAAGGAAAATCAGTCTATTTTTCTCATGGTATCTCACCAGAAGTAAATGTTAGTGAATATTCATAGTTTTCTAGTCTAGAATCAGGAATGTACTCAAAAGCAACTTTATCTCTAGGTCATCTGTAATAAACTTAAAAGCAAATTTTCACTTCAGTAATGCAAAATTACTAAGTTTTAATTTCATGTAGGAGCTCTGGTAGCGTAGTGGTTACGAATCGGGCTGCAAACCTTAAGGTCAGCGGTTCGAAACTACCAGCTGCTCCGCGGGAGAAAGATGAGGCTTTCTACTCCCGTAAAGATTTACACCCTTGGAAACCCTGTACAGGGTCGCTATGGGTCGGACCCGACTCGATGGCACTTAACAACAACATCTGTTCTTGAGTTCAGCTCATAAGGGCATTCCACTAATATATCGATACTCATGTATGAAACTATGTCCATATGTTATTGTTGTTAAGTACCATCATCTTGGTTCCAACTCATAGCAATCTTATATAAATTTTCCAAGGAGTGACTCGTGGATTTGAATCTCCAAACTTTATCCTATAGTGCCACACCAGAATTTCATATAGTAGTTGTTATATGGTTTCTGTCTACTTGACAGAAATGAATATCTTTGTATTTATTGTTGTTGTTGTTGTTGTTAACTGCTGTCGAGTCAGTTCTGACCCATAGCAACCCTGTATAGGGTTTCTGAGGAGTGACTGGTGAGCTTGAACCGCCGATCTTGCAGTTCAAACAGCTTTAGAATCTGGCACATTAACCTACAGCACCACACCAGGATTAGTATCAGTGAAATATAATGCAAACTGAGCTTAATTTACTTCAAATGAACAGTGTTCTTAATCCTCCCAGAAGCTTTTCACAAATGTGTTGGTATTGGTGTGTGTACTTATTTAACTAGAATTGGTGATCCAGCCTTGCTCTTATTAATTGATTTTCATCTGTTAGACAATGGGCACTAGAAAGTTTCATCTTCAGCTAAGATGTTATAGTTATAGAAGTGTTCAGTGAATTTCTGAGTTCTCTGGACTTGATAACCCTGTTTTCCATGGGAAGATGGGTTTTGCCCAACATTTCTGGGCACACTGACAATAAACATGGAAGAACTTTTCTTTTTCTCAATAAATTTGGTTGACAGTTCTCTTATGCCAAGTGTAGCCATCTTATTCCCAGTCTTAGATTGCTCTGTTTGAAATAATGTATCATGCAAATCCAAAGCCTGACTTAATGGTTTTGACATTTTATTATTGGCAAGAGAGAGTTTCAAGGATACGTCAGTAGAGTTTTTATGTTTCCTTCTGCAGCTACAAGTTTTGGCCAAAAATCTTTGTCCTACCCATATCACTTAGATTTCTTTGAATTTCATAATCAAAATTCATGTTTTGTTTTTTTAATATGAAGCTAGTTCCATAAGGTTCAAAACTACACTATGGTCATAAGCACCCTTTCTAATTCATAGTAATGGCATGAATTCACCCAGTACAAATTTCTTTTCATTTTCTATCAATTAAACTTCAATTCCTAGAAATGATTCTTATTGTTGTTACTGTTAAGTGCCATCTAGTCATTTCTGACTCATAGTAACCATGTACATATTAATATATGTATTTTTAATTTGATTCTTACACTTTTATACTGTTGATTCTGGTACCTCAATTTCCTAGATGAAGAACACATGCCCATATGTTGTTGTTGTTAAGTGCCGTCGAGTCGGTTCCGACCCATAGCGACCCTGTACAGGGTTTCCGAGGGTATAAATCCTTACGGGAGTAGAAAGCCTCATCTTTCTCCCGCGGAGCGGCTGGTAGTTTCGAACCGCTGACCTTAAGGTTCGCAGCCCGATTCGTAACCACTACGCTACCAGAGCTCCTTACATGCCCATATAGTGGAAGCCAATGGATAAATACACAATCAAATTACTCTCTACAATTAATATATTCATCTGTCTAATAGATTTGTGTGGATGTCTCATAGTAATTTAAATATGTAGATGTCATTTTTTATTTCTATCTGGGGAAAAATGTTGAAAACTTCAATATAAGTCACAGCAGTCTCTTCCTCATTGACTCTGTCCATCAGACACAAGGAACCATCTTCCCAGCTCCCAACTTCAATGGCATTGCTGATGCCCAAATGCTTGGAGAAGCACTTCAACAATTTGGTAAGTTCAATAATTCCAACCATATTTGATTATCATTTAAAATTTTAAAAATATTTTTACTTTACTTTATTTTGAGAAGGAACATTGTTTTAGGACTATAATATGAATATGAAATGCCTGATGTTCAAAATAAGGAAGATAAGGGACAAAAATAAGTAAAACTGGGTAAAGAGGAAGGAAAATAATAAAAAAGAAAAATAATAGCAGATTTGCCTTTCTCAATTGCAAAACTGATCTTGTCATGCTTTACCCTTCTAACCTTGACTACCTCATCACTCAATGCTAAATCAAATTCTAAAACAAAACAAAACCCTAACCTTAATCAATGATGTCATTAGTTTTATGTTTTCCTTTGCAACTGCAAACTTGAGCTGAAAATCTTTGTCCTGTTCGTATCACTTAAATTTTTATGAATTTCATAATCCAAATTCAATTTCAATTTTTCTAATATGAAGCTAGATCTGTAAGGTTAAAAACAACAACAACAACAAGCTATGATCACAACGGCCATTTCAAAAGATAAAGCAAACTTATTGACCATGTCCTTATTTGTTTTTCTAGCCCCTTTCTTTTGCACTTCCACTTACAGTAAAATCTAACTTTTCATTTTTCCCTCAAATAGCTCTGTTTTGTATCTCTATAAATTGGCACAGTAGTCTCCTTGCCTGAAAGGCAATTTTCTTCTTTTATCTATTTCCTAAAAGATTCTGTTCAAAGGACCTCTGCTTCTGTGAGCACCCCCAAGCTCAATCATCTATGCTAACCCCAGGTTCCTTGCTTCTGCAGTTCCTAACCTCATTATCCCTCTGATTGTGCTTCTGTCTCACCTGCTGTCCAGACTGGGCACTCCTAGAGAGCATGCATTCTGGCGTTCGTGTTTCTAAGTGCCTTGGAGTCTGTAATGTTGTTGCTGTAGCTTGTTAAGTGCCGTGGAGGTGGAGTCGGTTTCTACCAAACGGCTCTGCATAGGGTTTCGGAGGAGCGACTGGTGAGCTTTAACTCCTAGGACCTTGAGATTCAAACAGATCTTGCAGTCCAGCGCATTAACCCACAGCACAACACCAGGACTGAGGGGAGTTTGTCAAGAAACCCATATAGTTTCTGTGTCTCTGTAACAGGTTTCTGAGACTTTAAATACTTATAGGAATGGAAAACCTCCTCATCGTTCTCCCAGGGTGGTAGACTTGTGATTCACAGGCTAGTGCTTTATACTATGGAGCCACCGTAGCGCCTGGATTCTGATATATAGTTACGTAATGAACCCATATTCAACGCCTTAAACTTGAGCTTAGAAAAGGAATATAAGAAGAAGAAGAGAAATATTGTTGGTTTATTTTTAGAAAGTTTTCATCTTTAAATAAATATGGTGTGGTATTGAGAAGCAGCCACAGATTCCCATTAAATGTAACCTGTTTTAGGATGACCGCTCCTGAGCATTTAGATTTAAAGAAAGAAAGAAAGATTTGCATAAAGCATAGAAAACATGGAACGCCTTTCATAAGACAGCAAGCTACTGTGAGTGAGTGAGTGAGTGAGTGAGTGAGTGAGTGAGTGAGTATGTGTGAGTATGTGTGTGTCTATCTGCGCCATCTTCATGTGCAAGCATGCATATGTGTATTTTATTCATAAGCAGCACCGCACAGGAAAGCAATAAAGCATCTTTAGTACAGTCCCAAAGATCTGCTTTAGGCTTTTTCAAAGTTCTCATGCCTTTTAAAATATAGCTCAATGCTAGGGAAAAAAAAACACATAGAAACATGGTAACAAAAATTTGTGGATTACCTTTTTTTCAGGAGTATATTTTTTTCCTTTAAAATTTTGAATCAGAGCAATCTATTCACTGATTTTTCTTAGTTATAATTTCAATTTTCTATTTTAGGGTCAGAATATGGATTCATTTTGGCAATCATAATCATTTGCTTGTCAGTGTTGTAGGCTGAACTATTTTAGAAGATTTTAGTCCTGATTGCATAGTGTCCAATGTAGCATGCAAAAGTAAGAATACAGCTCAAAATGCCTTAAAAATGCATTCATCCTGTGAAAAATAATGTATTTGAAAAATACAGTTACTAATATGTGCTTTGAATACTATGCTTTAGTTTATAAAATCCAGAGCACAGAAATATATTTTTGAGCAAGTGAAAATGAATAGTCTTAACAAAACTTTAATAAAAGTCACTGTTGTTGGTAGATGCCTTCAGGTAAGTTATGACCCATAATGACCCAAAGTATAACAGAGAGAAACACTGCCATGTCTTGCACCATCCTTACAATGATTGCTACACTTGAGCCCATTGCTGACACCTCGGTGTCAGTCCATTTCATTGGGAGGAGGGGCCTTCCTCTTTTTCACTAACCTTCCAATGTCAAACACAATGCAAGTCTACAAGGACTGATGTCTCCTGATAATATGTCCACAGTATGAGAGACTAAATCTCACCGTCCTGGTTTCTAAGGAGCATTCTGGTTATACTTCTTCCAACACTGACTTGTTTGTTCTTCTGCTCATGGTACTCTGAATATTCTTCTCCAACACCTTAACCTAAATGCATTAATCCTTCTACAACGTTATTTATGCATTGTTTAGCTTTCACATGCTTATGAGCCAACTGAAAATATCATGGCTTGGGTCATGCTCACCGTGGTTCTTAAACATTTATCTGTTCTTAAACACTTTAAAGAGGTTTTGTGCAGCACATTTGCCTAGTGCAATACATTATTTAATTTCTTGGCATTTGCTTCCATGAGTTTTGATAGTGGATCCACAGAAAATGAAATCTTTGGCAACTTCTATCTTATCTCCATTTATTATGATGTTATTTATTGGTCCAGTTGTGAGGATTTTTGCTTCTTTTTGCATTGAGGAGTAATCCATAATGAAGGCTGTGGTCTTTGATCTTCATTAGTATTTTAAATCCTTTTTGCTTTCAATAAGCACGGTTGTTTCATCTAAATATCAGAGGTTGTTAATGAATCTTCTTCCTATCCTGATGTTCTTCTTCATAAAATCCATCTTCCCTGATTATTTACTCAGCATACAGAATGAAAAAGTATGGTGAAAGAATACAGCCCTGGTAGAAGTCTTTCCAGATTTTAAACCATTCAGTAGTCCTTGTTGTGTTCAAATGACTGCCTCTTGGTGTACGTACAGGTTCCTCTTAAGCACAATCATGGTTCTGGAATGTCCAATTTTTGCAATATTACCCATAACTTCTTATGAGCCACCCAGTTGACAACCTTTGTATAATCAGTAAAACAAATAATACCTTTTTGGTATTTTATGCTTTCAACCAAGATCCATCTGATGTTATCACTGACAATCCTAGTTCCATGTACTCTTCTGAACCCAGCTTGAGTATCTGACAGTTCCCTAACAGTCATTTTTAAATCATATTCAGCAAAATTTTACTTTCTTATGATACTAATGATAGTGTTCAGTTGTTTCCACATTCTGTTGGGTCACCTCTCATTGGAATGAACAAAAATATGGATCTCTTCCATTTGGTTGGCCAGGTAGCTGTCTTCCAAGATTTCTTGGTATAGCCAGTGCTGCATCAGTTTGGTGAAAAATTCAACTTGTATTCCATCAGTTCCTGAGGGCTTGTTCTTTGCCTTCCAGCTTGTTTTGATACTTTCTGCATCATTCAAAAGTTTGTCCATGGAATCCTTCAATATTTCTAGTGGAGGCTTGCATTTTTCCTCAGTTCTTTCAGATTGAAAAATGCTGAGTGGTTACTTCCCTTTTGTTTTTCTAACTCCAGTTCTTTGCACATTTCATTATAATGCTTGTCTTTGTCTTCTCAAGCTGCCCTTTGAAATTATCTCAGCTCTTTCAACAACTATACTTGACAATGCCTCACTGCTGTTCATAAGTGGCTAAACATTCTGAAGTAGTCCCTTTCTCCTTCTTCCTAGTCTGTCTCCATCTGGAAGCTCTGCTGAAAACTGTCCAATGGGGGTGACCCTGCTGATATTTCAAATACCGGTGGCATAGCTTCCAGCACTACATACAATATATACCACAGTACAGAAAACTGACAGAAGAATGGTGGAATGAAAGTCACTTCGTTGTTGTTGTTGTTAAGTGCCAATTTGTCAGTTCAGGCTCATAGCAACCCTGTATATGGTTTCAAGTAGGGTCTGGTGAGTTTGAGCCACCACTTTAAGGTTCAAACTAACTTTGTGGTCCAGTGCATTATCCCACAGCATCATACCAGGACTTCAAAAAGTTACTTATCATACATAAAAATAGGGATTATGGTGTTTGGTACGACAAGCACTGAGCTTCAAACCATAATGCCAGCAGTTCACATCCAACAGTCATTTTGAAATAGTGAAATGGATAGCTCCAGAAAATTTATTTCAGTAATACACTTGTCTTTGTCTCATTAGGGTATCTTCAAAAAAAGAGATCCAATAAAAACTGTGGCTTCTTAGGGAATTTCCTGGGCCAGTTAAATTCATGACAGAGAAATCAGCTCAGCGCTTATAGTGACTGTTTTGTGTGTTTGTAATCTAGGTATATTTTTCTCAAAGGACACAGAGCAAAATCACAGGGGCTTATTAGAAAGAAGTTTTAAGAAAATTAAAAACTGTATTGATGAGAAAAAAAGGGGGGGCAGGAAAGTTGAACTGAGGAATTCATTGTTATTGTTGTTGTTTTTTCAAGATAACAATGCACTTGTTCATTCTTTGACAGTAGCAAGGGCTATCATATGAGAATTGTTTGGAAATCTTATCCTATCCACCATACCACCTTTATCTTTCCCCTTCAGGCTTCTTTTTATTCCCCCAACTCAAAGAACATTTAAAAAGAAAACAATTTGGGTTTGTTGTTGTTGTTAAGTGCTATCAAGTTGGTTCTGACCCTTAGCGACCCTAGATTGGGTTTCTGAGGAGCTTGAACTGCCAACCTTGCAGTTCAAATGGCTTTGTAGTCTGGTGCATTAACCCACAGCATCACACCAGGACTCCAGTTTTGGGTCTGTAGAGCATGCCAAAGCTGTCATTTTAAGGTAGTATAAATCAAAGAGCACAGAATTATTTGAGGGAAGGGCTAGAGAAATGGAAACGCCATTTCAAATGTGTATAGACCTAGATGAGGGCTATGTCAAAACACAACAAATTCCGCTTTTGATATTTTTGTTTAATAAATATTTGAAAAAAATTTTAATACATTTTGACTTACATTATGTCTTAGAGACCACATCCAGTCTTTATTATGGGCAAGAGAAATGTTCCATGCCAACCATGAAAGATGCTTGCCATCCCTCAGAAGAGTACAGACCCCTTGTAGTTTTATAATTTCCTTCACTGTTTGCCCTCCTTCTTCTGGAGTTTCTGCACTAGAGTACATATTTTCCATTTAATATATGTTCTTTGTAAATCATATCTCTCTAAATGTGAAATGAGAAAAATACTGTGAGCATTTAAACACTAATCAGTTCAAAGGTCAGAGAAGCCTTTTTTGGTGTATGAGACACGAGGCTGAGGAAAGACCACCTATTCTTTGCTTCCCCGTATTTTTTGTTGGATTTTTTTTTTTTTTTCCAAAGAAAGGGAGGTAATCTGTTGTAATAGCAATAAAAGAAGAGATAGGGAGAAGCTAGGCTCTATCCAGGATTGCTATGCTATTTCAAATTCTAGTTAAAACTTCAGTTTGCTTTAAAGTACCATAAGGGAAAATGTTTTGATTTCTTAAGTTTTTCTTCTTAACTACATAATAGAAACTTAATAAATCTTCAAAATATTACTCTTTTCCAGACTGTGACAAAGATATGCTGATCAACATTCTCACTCAACGTTGTAATGCACAAAGGCTGATGATTGCAGAGGCATACCAGGACATATATGGCCGGGTAAGGTATCTTCATATTGACCTATTTTGGGGCCAAACTTTTGAGAAATAACAACCCTTTCAGATAACAAATAATATTATAATTTCATTCTCAAAGATTCCAAAGATGTCAGGCCTGACCGTATGTGAGAAACAACTCATATTGTTCTACTAACAAAATATCATGAAGGCAATTATATGTGAAGTTTGTTCACACTCACAGTGATCCACTGGTCCTTTTGCAAAAAATCATTCGGCCTCCAAAACTGAAAAGTACTGATAGCGTTACACTGCCAATTGTCCAATTAGACTAAAAATGTTGCACTGGAAACGCCCCTGTTCAAAGCTTTAGAGAAAGCTTAGAAAGTACTGATTATCTCCAGGTGAAAAAATCATATCTGTCCCTGCCATTCTCCACAGGTCCTCATCTAACTCAACCAAAGAGAATTCTCTACTGGTTTTCTTCTTATGGTGCAGCAAACAGTTATAAAGACCATTAAAAAAGAATGGCAGTTTAAAAATAGTTTAAGGCAATAAAACTATCCATAGTGTTTTCAAGTAATCACTTTCTAATTTCAAAGCAACTATCATTAAAGATTACTTTCTTTTGTTATGCATTTAAACCACATATTCTGAACAAAAACTCTTCAGGCCAGAAGGACCTGAAATACCAATTACTTAGTAAACTAAGTTTATCCTAAACATTATCAATGAAGCACTATCAAAAAAATTTTCTGTAGAGTTAATCCATATAAATTTACTCTCTCTCGAAGCCTCACTCTTTGAATAACTATAATACAAGATTTAAGGAATAGCCCTCAGCTATAGAATGAATTAAAGATTCAAATAAACACTCCGGGCTTGTGAAATTAGTTGAATTAAGCCAAAGGAGACTTAATATGTGCCTTTTTTTTCCCAGATACAACTGTCACATTATCTCTTATATTACCATGACACCAGAAATAGTTTTCTTTTGGACATGGTGATTAAAACTATTTAAGTTCTATTATTAGTATTCAAATATGATTTTAGTAAGCCCTAGTGGCTCAGTGGTTAAGCTCTTAGCTGCTATCCAAAGAGTCTACTGTTGAAATCTACTAGATAATCCACAGAGGAAAAGACATGGAAATCTGGTCCTAAAGAGATTGCTCAAACTGTGATCCTATAGGATAAGCACTGGACCTCTAGGTTGGTTTGAACAACAGGGTCGGCAGTTCAAATCCACCAGCCACTCCCTGGAATCCCTATACAGTATCACTATGAGTCAGAACTTATTTGACAACACTCTTGTGGTTCAAACCGACCTTGCAGTCCAGCACATTAAACCACAGCACCACACTGGGACTCCAGGTTTCTTTAGGGTTCTATAGGGTTTCTATTAGTCAAAATCCACTACTCCTCTCTCAGGTTGTTGTACTGTGGTGGCTTGTGTGTTACTGTGATGCTGAAAGCTATGCCACCAGTAATTTAAATACCAACGGGCCTCTGTTGTTTGGTGCCTCTGGCTTGATTCTCACTCATAGTGACTCAGTGTGATAGAGTATAACTACCATCATAGAGTTTCCTAAACTGTAATCTTTATAGGAACAGATCACCAAGTGTTTTTCCCTGTGGAATTGCTGGTGGCTGGGAACTGCCAACCTTTTGCTTACCATCTGAGTCACAAGGGCTCACCTTTATTATAATCAAAAACAACTATTTGTTCTTTTTTGAATTAACCAAGTCTGCTGTCTCAACTTAAACCATGGTTTATCACCTATCTCCAATAGCTTAGTGTTTTATCCCACCTACTGTACACCTACTTACCTTCCCATCAACTTGCCACCATTTCTATGCCACCACTCTCAAAACTGACTAGAGTTGACTTGTGGTTACTGCATTCTTTATATAACTCCCATGTATCCTGATGTACCATTAGTGAACTTGTTATGTTTCCCTTTACTGGCATGTACATTTTTGAAGGTGGAAATGCATCTTTTACATTCTAGAGTCTGGTACAAAAAACATGAATTCATACACTAAGATGTCTTAATTCATGTTTCTTGAATGACAGTGCAAGGCTACTCCTCAGATAAGATGAGATCAAGTTTTGGGCTGATCCCAGATGCCCTCCTGGCCTGCTGCACTCACTCTCAGTCTGTGTTAAGTGCTTCCTGCTGGTTTTCCAGAACTCCTAGGCACATTGTAACCATGTTGTTGTCAGTTGTCAGGTGCCATCGAGTCGGAAC